TTATTTGTTTTTATTTTATTACTAAAGAATACGTTACTATTTAGTCTTGTCTCGTATGTCGTATTATTTTATTGCATATATATATATATATATATATATATATATGTAAATTTTAGATATATTAAATGTACATATAGGTAAATAAGTATATTAAATAATTTTAAATATTTCGAGATGTATTAATTTTTGTTCAATAAAAATCTTTGTTTAACAATTATTTTAAAGGAAAATGTTTTTTTTTCGTACAGGTAAAAAATACTTTTTTAGAAGACGAGTCAATCACGTTAAACTGATTTCTTATGTTTATGTATAATCGGAAAGTCAAACACGCACGCGAATTTACATTTCTATAATATAGTTGGAAGACTTCAGTTGGTGGCATCTATTATATCGGCTGTACAGCAAATTTTACCGATATATAATGATTGTCAATATTATTTTAAATTTACGAAGACTAAATTGATAAATCATAGCTATGTGATATTAACAATAAACAACAGGTTACCTTTTATTTAAATTGCACACAACATGCTAAAATGATGCGGTTTAAGTAATCATACAAACACTACGAGCGAAACACTTAAATTAGACTTAAATCACTACTTTCTAAGTAATTTAAGTAGATGAAGCACATAAAGTAAATCTTACCTCTCGTTATTCGCTTGTTTAGTGCACACATAAAGCAATAATCCAAATATACCGGAGGTGCACTATACATTCAATTTGAAATTGGTTTAATTAAACAAACGACAAAAATTTGTCAACATTTGACAAATATGACGTTACGTTCAGAGATCACAAATGGAAATAAATGGAAGCGGACACCGTTGTATGTAACAGGAAGGATCACTGACCTCGCCTTCGACAGGCTGTTCTTGGACGACACCTTGCAGATACTCTTCAGGTATTCGGACGGCTTGAGCAGGGTATTGGAGTCCGCGTTGGCGAACTTTGGCGGTATGAACGGCAGCACCATGTGCCTGTTTACCAGGTGGGACGCCTGGCTCGCTTTAATTTCGTCCGCGTCCACCGGCGCACTGGCGGGAGCCGGCATTTCCGGCTGTTGCGGATGCTCGCCGGAGGATGATGCGTCGGACTTGTTGGTCGCTGTTCCGAGACCGACCAGCAGCGTTAGAGAAAGAGAGACGGTCGACAGTCCGGGGGAAGATAGAGAAGGTGGAAAAAAAGGTAAAGGAGATAGGCAGAGAGGAGAGGGTTTCTCGTTATATCCTCTAGCATTGGATGACGGTTGTTACCGAGGGGCAAGTGAAATCTAGGTAAGTATATTATATGCCCGGTGAGCACCATGGTCTAGTAAGTGAGGCCACCTCTGCTGAGCACGATCCGCTAACAGTTTAATTAAAGCCCGAGGTATACGCGCGTGCAGCCCAAATCGAGATCGTAACGTGATGAGGGGGAGGAGGAGGCCTTTAAATCCCTTCTCCGTGCTGCTATTCGATCGTGTGCCGAGTTGGCCCAATTAAATCTACGGCTGTTGATTAACATCTGCGAATTAATTTTGTCTGATTTTAACTGTAATTGCCCGTCGTCGTAGTCGATTCAGCTAATTGCCTGCATGTCTTCGCATCGAAGTGTCGGAGGCACGCGCCCCGAAAATGTAAGCGTAATTCGCACGAGCGTAACACAGCTATCCGAGTAGCGAAGCGATTATCGTGGCGATAAAAATACAGTAACAGCGGATTATGGATTTTATATAACGGAGTTACCACACCTCTCTTTCTTTCTCTCTTTTCTTTATTAGCTCGGTACGGATTGCAAACAAATTCATAACTGCTGGATCTTCCCCCTCTCCCTCCCTCCCTCCCACAAAAATCAACTAATTGCGGCGGAAATAATTAAATAACGGAGGAACTAAACGTCGAAGACAAACAAACTCCGAATCTGAGATGAGGTGTTCCGTAAGTAGCGTCATTAAGGAGGATCGACTCGTTAAATAAAATCTGTCGAGGAAGTAATTGAGAGTACAACGGTTTTAGCGTTGACCGGTAGTCGTAAAACGTCGGCCGGCCGTAAAACCGTTCATGTGCGACGCGATCTCTTTTCGTGATTGTCGTGGATAACGTGAAATTATACATTAAGTTATTATACATTAAGAGAATCTCCTCTCATATCCGTCGCAGAGTAATTTTTGACAGATGACGATTTTAATATATACGCGACCGCGTTCGCGACGCAGGGCGCACGAGGGGAAATCTTTCTTCGATTCGAGATCTTTTCCGAAGCCGAAATTACCGATGGAAAACGTTTAATTCAGATTAAACATATTTTTCGGTAGGCGACTGCACGTGGGAAATGTCAAACGAATGTGCGTGCACACATTTCTGCTCGAGGTCGGCCTGCAACTTTCACGCTCGCGGCAATTTCGCAAAGGATCAAAAGAACATTGAAAAGGAAATGGGCGTCAAGTGCAGTTTCTTACCGAAGGACTCGCCTCTTCCGTCCTGGCTAGTTGCTCGCGCATCTTTCTTGTCAGCGGCTGCGTCTGCGTTCGACTTTGCGTTCACCAAGACAACTACTACGTCATCGTCCGGCGGCGGCGGTGGTGGCGGTGGCGGTGGTTTCGAGAGACTAAGAACACAAATTTTAATTCTTACGCTCGTGAGAAATCACGTAAACAATATAAATGATACCGGAATGTTAATAAATTAATATTGTAAAAAATGTTAAATGATATCAATAGTATTAATTAAAAATAATATTTCCTGCTTGAACAGGAATGATAAACTTTGATCTAAGAAATTTGTGTTTTGTTTTGATTCCGTATTGGTAAAGGCAGATAATTTTTTTCAGAAGAAAAATAAAGGAAAATTGGTGAAGGTAAGTTTCGTCATCTTTATTTATGACCACAAGATAAAGATAACATTATTATAGTAATCGATAATTGCGTTTGAGAGAAATAAATAGTAATAACGAAAATATCGTTTACCAGATAATTAAAGGGATTAGATAATGTTTGTCAATTTTATGAAGGTATGGTGAAAGTCGCAATCATAGAGAGCACAGTAATAAATACATGTACCTAATAACAGGTAATAACAATAAATGAAAACGAGCGAAAACGTTACACAAGAAACTAAATGGAAGAACGTTCACTTTGTTTCAAAAGCAAATCATTTAAAAATTTTCTCGGATATTTTTTACTTTCGATTAAATTTATATTTTTGAGGATTAATAGTAATCGATTTAGTAGTTCGCTTTCTCGTTCAAGCGAGTCACATAATCTGGATTGTCCATATTCATTTTGATGCATTAATGACCGAAAATAATTGCGAGTAAAAAATCGACCATCTTCATATTACGCGCGATATTTTAAAGGAAAAGACAAAATCGAAAAAAAAAACAAGCTGGTCGAATCGTGCGAAGTAGCGAGCAACCTCCGATCGACTCGATCGACTTTCGATCGAGCTTTCTTTCTTTCTTTTTTATTGACGCGGCTTTAGCTTAAGAATCAATCTGATATCGATTCGCCCTACTTACCTAGGTCCGCCGTTGCCATTTATACGGATCTCCTTTTCACTTTCCATCTGCGCGCTAGACGAGTCCTTCCTCTCTGCGAATCGAAATAGAATAGCGTATCGGTCAATCACGGCCGTTCACATCATCGTATATTCGCAGGAGGATTTTTGCCATGGTGTTTCTATTATTTTTTTCGCTCAAAAACTATTAGTGTCTATTGCATTAATG